GTTTTGAGAAAAAGGAAACGAAATGGTGTGGATTATCTTTTCGTAAAATGGAAAGATTATGGGTCTGAACATAACAGTTGGATACCTGCTAACTCTGTTCTTTGGAGATAATATACATAAATGAAATTTTAAATATTTAAAATAAAAATGACTTCCTTTTATATAATTATTCCATCCAATACTAATGTTGAAGGAAATAGAACTAATTCTTTTAGAGTTAGATTACCCCATAAACTAAAATTTAATTCTGAATGGAATGTTGGATTATCTGTCATGGTTTATCCTCATTCCTGGCCTTCACTTGGGACTACAACCGAACAAAATATAACAGTTGTTTGGAAAAGTGGTGAGATTGTTCGTTTAGCAGTACCTTCTAATAGTTTAACCAACCCTCTAAATTTAAAACAAAGCCTTGACAAATCTCTTAATGAAGGAAGTGAGGCACTTTCGGAAAAAATGCGCGGTTGTCAAATTGAGTATACCAATATATTAAAGGAAACACGAAGCAAGGCTAAGGAAGAGTACAAAAAATTAAAAGAACTAGTACAGAGCAGTAAAGAGGTATCTACAAACGTAACAACTGAAAAACATGTGATTATTCCTGAGGGCGAAATTCCTAAACTGAGAAGTGAAACAGAGATTTACAACGATATGGTTAAAGCAGAAATTGACAATTTGCCTATAGAAACTAGGAAAATTATTGAACTAACTCGTGAAAGTGGTTTTGAACCGTGGATTACAGCATATCGTAAACCAAAATTTGCATGTGACTTTGAGTTCCACTCACATAAAAATAGGTTTTCATTATTTATCGACAAGAAGTATATAGAACAAATTGAAATAAGCGAGCAGCTGGCATATATTCTGGGTTTTGATTCACAAGTATTAAAGGAATCTTGTGTTGCCAAATTTATGCCAGATATGAGAGGAGGGGTTTCTTGTTTTCACGTTTATGCACCAGGTCTAATTGAACCAATGATTATTGGGGATATTACCGCTCCAGTTCTCCGTATTGTAACCATTCGGGGAAAACAGGACGAAATAATTGAGGAACAATTTCTTTCTATTCAATATCATAAATTACTTGTTAAAGAAATTTCCGAAATTTTAATTGAAATTCGCACGACTAGCGGGTCCTTGATGCCTTTTCAATATGGAACATGTACATTAACATTACACTTTAAAAAATCTACTTACTTTTAATAATGAATACTATTCAGATTGATAAGATGTTAAACAGAAATTCTGTTACCAAAAAATATTATATCGGTTGTTATGCCTCTAACTGTATCCCTTATAAGTCAACCTATTCCCCTTTTTGTGCAGTAATTAACATAGATCCTAATAATTCACCTGGAACACACTGGGTAGCAATATTTTGTGATTCCATTAAAACTATTGAATACTATGATTCGTTGGGAATATGGCCACCGATGAGCTCCCATATTCGAGATTATTTAGAAAAATTTCAAAGAGTTCGATTTAATTCCATTAAACTTCAGGGTATGTTTACGCGCTCATGTGGCCACCATGCAATATTTTATCTCTATATGCGCTGTTCCGGTTTTCAGATGAATGAAATAATTTCATTTCTTAAAAATATAAATGCCGATAAGTTTGTAAAAGAATTTATTGCATCAAAGATATTTAATATACATAGTTAGATTAAAAATATTTTTTCAACTTAAAATGCATATCGACTTTGATCCCTCACATATTAATTGGTCAGCATTGACCGACGAGCCTAATCAGTGGGGTGGGTATAACGTATTTCGCGGGGTTCCTTACCAAAGAGGAAGTGGATTAGGTTCGGTATTTAGGAGTTTTCTCCGTTATCTCATACCTATTGGCAAAGAAATTGGTAGTGCCATAGGTAAACAAGGACTAGAATCGGGCAATAAAGTTTTAAGTAATGTTCTGGAAGGAAAGAATCTCAAAGAATCTCTAATTAATGAAGGCAAATCAGGGTTAAAAAATTTATTACAGAAAGCAGCAGATAACGTTGATAAACAAACTGGCAAAGGCTTTGATTTTAAACGTTATAAGAGTATTGAAAAGCATCCATCCCTTGGTCAAATGAATGATGAAAAAAATGATATAAAGCTTAAGACTATAAATAAGCGGGCATATTCCAGTATTGGCCCTCCTAATTTTATTCCTAATCTTGCTAGGAAACCTTCGAAAAAATCTCGTAGAAAAATTCCCGCTAACAAACGTTTACGAGTAGATACTTTGGGCACATACTAACATGAGTTGTCCTAAACAAATTAATGAAAATAGTCCTTTGGCCTTAAATAGTGCACTGAATATTTTTTCCGTTCCTCCAACTAATGTTTCTGTTATCCGTTCGTTTTTTCGAGAGATTCTACCCCTTAGCACAATAACGCAAGATTCGCCTTATTTGTTTCGTTTGTTCAGTGATAATCTCTGGACAGATCAACTTATCTTTATCTTGAACTTTCTATTGAAAAGCTTGGTGACACAGGTAAATGGGAAGATATTGATTCGACTAAAGATACAAATATTGGAACCATTCAAGGTATCGGACAAACATTCGTTCAGCAATTAAAAGTTAATGTTGGTAATACTGAAGTTTACGATAGCGGTACTCTTTATCCATATAAAGCATATATAACCAATGAATTATCATTTCCTGACAATGTCAAGTCTAATTTTCTTGCATCAGTTGGGTACTATAAAAGCGAAAAGCATGATGATGCTTTTGATTCAGGATTTATAAACCGATGTTCACTATTTGCCGGGGGTAAAAGATCTCAGTTTCTTTCAAGGTTAGATTTTGATTTGGGAAACCAGGAATTATTTTTACTCAATAACTTAGATATAAACTTTAGTATCTATAGAAGTAAAAATTCATTTGTTTTGCATAAACTTAAAGCTGATGATAAAAATGAGTATAGACTTTATGTACATGACGTCAAACTTTTTTCTAAAATGATTGAAGTCCAGCCATCCCTTAATATGAACATTTACAAAACGCTTGAATCAAAGCCTGCTACATATGCCCTAAGAAGAACTGAAATGAAATCGACCTTTTTAACCGCGGGCCGCACAGAAATTGAATATAACGCTTTTAGCGCTACAATACCGAGAAGAGTCACAGTTTCTTTGGTATCAAACAAGGCATTTAATGGAGACATGGCACTTTCACCATTTAACTTTAAACCATTTGATTTGAGAGAAATCTCAGTACATACCGGTGGGCATATTTATCCCATGGTTGCTTATAAACTAAAATTTGAAAAAGATCTTTTTGTTCGAGCTTTCGTTGACATGTACGAAGCATTGGGGATGGCTAACTCTGATCGGTCAATCGATATTCCAATGTCCCGATTCAAAAATGGCTGGACATTTTTTGTAATACCTTTGACTTCAACACTTGACGACTCTTGTGGATTTGAGTTACTTAGAAGTGGTACTACAAGTATTCGTTTAGAATTTAACTCTCCCATTCCTTCTGGTGGAGTTGAAATGATTATCTTAGGAGAATTTGATCAAATGTTAATGATAGATTATAATCGTCATATCGTTTCCGATTCCAATCTTGGTTAGATAATTTGTATAAATAATTGGTTATTAAAATCTTTCCGACATTTAATATGCAAAATTACTCTAATATTTCTGATAATTTATCTTTCGCTTTAAATGTTGATGACAATTTTAAGGGGTCTAATAAGTTTATAGCTTATGATATTCTTTTATTTTTATTGATTTATTCATTATTAATACCTCTGATTATTCTATGTTGGGTTCTAATTCTTAGATTTTTGCGCAATAGAGGTTTGATTACTTCAACTCAAGAAAATGCTATTGCTAGCAATATTAAAGATATTCCTCTAGTAGGTCTGCCAAGATCAATTACTCATTATAATTTACCCATTGGATCTGAATGCCCTGTGAATTAATATTTTTAGAAACCCTTGACCATGAAATTTTCAAATTTTTAAATCGATATTTTGAACTTTAACATTTTTAAGTCCGATTGCGACGAAATCCGGCACTGAACCGTGCGCAATGAAACACGCAAGTTGAAGCGTCCCGGTATCAAAAAAAAAAGAATAGGGTTTAAGTTAAAATAATAATTCAATTAAATTAAAGTTCCCCGTGGCGGAGTTGTTAGTGTCTCCGCCTTTAGGCTAGGAGTCACCGGATCGACTCCGCCACTGGGAAATTAATTATTTTTAAAAATGGCTTTTTGACATGTGGTGATTTGTCTTGTACCATTTTGTCGCGTGGTATTTTAGACAGTGACAAAAGGTTTGGGATGAGTCATCCCATTTCTATTTTCCCCGCACGTTCCTTTAGGGGCGGGGCAAAATCAATCAATAAATTAATAATGATCCTAATGTAGTTATAATTCCAGATTGCACCCACTTTTTTAGAGAAAATTATTGGTGGGTTGCTGGGAAAAGGATAGGCAAAATTTCAGTGAGATTTTTAATGTCTTGTTTTTGTTCTTTGGTTAAATTGTTATATTCCTCCTCCATCTCTTTCGGGAGGATAATGAAATCAACCCCGATTTCTTTGGCAGCCATTAATTTGGGAATTAATCCGCCAACTACCAACTACCTCATTATCTTTTACTTATTTACAACGTAGTATACTATAATAAATTTGGGCAGATGGCTCGGTCCATAAGGTTGGCGGATTAATTCCCAAATTAATGGCTGCTAAAGAAATCGGGGTTGATTTCATTATCCTCCCGAAAGAGATGGAGGAGGAATATAACAATTTAACCAAAGAACAAAAACAAGATATTACGCCTCATTTCATTAAAAATCTCACTGAAATTTTGCCTATCCTTTTCCCAGCAACCCACCAATAATTTTCTCTAAAAAAGTGGGTGCAATCTGGAATTATACATACCTAAATAAAAAGTGTTTATATATAAATATTTAATGAGCTTAATGATCCGTTTATTTAATCGAAATTATCCCCAGATCTTCCAGATCCTTCCAAATACCCCTTAATCTCTCAAATTGTTGAAATTTTAAAATTATTCAGCGCCTGATTGAAAGTTGACTCAAGGGTGACCACTAAATTGTTGTCCTCTTGGGAGTCGACCTGATGGAGTGATCCCGGTTTAAGTTGTTTACTTAAGTGATTTTTTGTCAATAATTCTAACATGCCTTTTAAATTTAAATTGCTTTTGCAAATTTTGATGCCATGGGTGAGATTTGGGTCGATGGCACTGTGCACAAAGTCGGCGGCCTTATCCCAAAATTAATGGGAGCAAAAAAATTAGGGGTAGAGTTTATAATCCTCCCAGCAGAAATGGAAGATGAACATAACGCGTTAACAGAAGAACAGAAACAACAAATTACCCCCATATTTATTAGTAATTTTGAGGAAATCTTTCCTGTTTTATTTCCAAATTTTGTAAAATTTGTAGTTTTACTATTATTTGTTACAGAATAATGATCCTATTAATTTTTAAATCATTTTAGTTTATGCAATTGTTAGCAAACTCATTAATACTACAATGTCTCAACTTTATTTCTTGCCTATACGTTATTTTTTGATAAATAGTTGTTCTGTTTTCCTATTTTTGCTCCTTTCTGTTTTAGTCTATTTTTTGCGTAACATTGTTTTGTTTTTGGGGTTTAACTTTTATCTCTTATATCTTTCCGTAAAATGGAGTTGAATTTAAGTTAATATAAATTTTGATCGTATTTTTCTTATTTTTGGCCTCGGACTCATACTAAACATAGGCTTAAGTATTTACTAGAAACAAAACCTTGTAATGTACCTACTAATATAGTGTCCACTCTAGTCCAAATCCCAATAAAAAATCTTCAATTTAAATTAATTTACTTTGTTGACTGCCGCTTATTTCTAATACTTATTGTTAGGTGGCTTATAAAAATGTTTTTTTAAAAATACTAAAAAAACTTTACGGAACCCAAAGCAAACATTGAAAACATGTAACATTTGTAACGGTTGATACGTTATACCACTCGAAGTATGTACTGCACTAGAGACGAGCACAACATTTTAAATATCTTCTCAATGTCAGAAAAAAAGATACCTTAATAGAATTATTTAAATAAACAAACATTTTTTAGTTTAAAAAAATATATTTCACAACTCCATCATCATCACATCCCTTCCTTTTCGAGATTATAATCTTCCCATTCATGCACAGCAATTGCTTGCACGGCCTAAAGGAGTACCACCACCTGGAGCATTTGGAGAGCTTGGCGAATGTTGTGGTCCAAGTTTGATTCCATTTGCCTTTAAAAAGATAATTCAAAACTAGTAACTGGCAAAATAGAATTTTTGGGATAATTTTATAGTACAAGTTTGCAGGAACTCCCAGAAGATTAATCACACAGCCTATAATCGAAATAATATTTAAAAATTCCGTCCAAGATATGTAGTAAAAATAAACATCGGATCTCACTTTTAAATAAGACCTTGTGGCTTACAAAGGGTTAGCTTAATCAAGAGTATCCTAAAAAGGGTCATCGCTTATCCTCCCATCCTATGGCAAAATAATTTTAAACGAGTATCTGAGTCGAGGAAATCTAGTATTTGAGTGTATTTCCCGAAAATTTTCTGGCTACGTCCTTAGGCCCAATTGCAAATTAATAATAAACCCTCAACGACCTTAAAAAAGAAACCAAGTAAAACAATCCCACTTAAATATGTCAAATAAATAAAACCTCATTATTGATGTCAAAAACGCCTTCTTGTATTTTCCTGTAGATTTCCTTAGCCGTATCAATAAAAGCTTCTTCAACATTTGCTGCCGTTTTTGCTGAAGTTTCCATGAAAACCAAACCATTTTCACGTGCAAACGCTTCGCCCTCTTCACGTTTAACTTCACGGCGAGCTTCTAGATCACTTTAAAAAAGCAAAAGATTAAAGTTCAAAAACGCCCAAAGAAACCTTTTATTGCCAATCAACATAATAACCATATTAGAATTTGAATGTTGACGAGCATCTTCTAACCACGATGTTAAATGATTGAAAGTGTCACGCCTGGAAATTTGTAAAACGTAAAGTGTTATATAAATAAAATTATAAGGAAGGGATATCCAAGTGGATAGCTGAAACAGAGCATCAGCCTATACCCTGTCCTTCTGGCTAAACAGGGGTTTAGGAATCTATTAGAAGATTGTGGGGAAGGGTAAATCAAAATGGATAACTGGGGCAGTCCAGCAGCCCGGATCCCAGTCTACCTGGCTAGACGGGGTTTAAGGATCTATTAGAAGAGTAGAAGAGAACATGCCCCGGTAACTCGTTCGGAAGTTCCTCTGTATGTAGTGAGCAAGAAACTGCCAAGCAAAAAACTCCAAGAAGTCAGAAGGATCGATGCCTGCCCGGGATAACATTATACCCCTCTTTTACTAAATATTTACCGAGTTATGTCATACACAAGCAAAGCACCAGCAGCTCCTCGATAGTATGAACGAGTTATTGAACGAAATGATTCTTGACCTAATAATTGATTATATAAATCGTCGAAAAACGAAAGTCAAAACAGGCACACCCCTGTCAACTTGTAAAAGTCAAGAGACCCACAAAACACACCAAAAAAATACCAATAGGTTAACGGAAGCCCAAACATTGTTAAGAAACCCAAATGTAACCAGCAAACCCAGGAATGCTCAAATCAAGGTGAAATTGTGGAATAAATGGCAGTATTGCCACACAAACTGCAGCCTATTGAAAGAAAACTTTGCAGAAAACGAAGCCCAGACTTTGTTCGATTTTTCTTGAGGCAGGGTCAAGATCCTCGACCAGAATCAAGAATCGGTAATCCTGCAGGGAAAAACTTAAGAATACGGGCCACTATCAAATATGGGCAAATTATATGTCATTCGAAAGAGCTCAGCGAGAGAAGTCGAATGACACCAAAATTACTAAGCGGACTCAACTATAAGCTGAGATACAAGGGTTTAAAATTGTCAAAAACGATAAGGTGGACCAAGCTGTTTTTTGGGGTCAAAATGTCGAAAAATCATATAATAGCTCGTTCAACTAGTCTCGTTGAGCTGAGTCGAATGACACCAAAATCAGCTTGATTGAATGATTTTAAAAAAAGTTATGACAACATAAACCTATGGGGCGTCGGCGAGGCGCTTGTGCAAAACCCCGCGCTTCGCGCGGGGTTTTGCGGCACGCGCCTCGCGGGGAGTCTACGGGCGCTGGGTCTGGGCTCGTAACATAACCCTATTCCTATCTCCCTTGCTCTGGACGTATTTGGGGCCTCCGTAGTAGCAAAAATCTCCACAGATGCCATAGGTAAGGAGCTAAAATAAAAGATCATAACTTTGTCCAATCAAGTCGGATTTCATTAATGTTGGTGTCATTCGACTTAGCTCGAGGAGCTCTTTCAAAAGAGCTATAATTTGCATTTTCGAATTTTTCACCCCAAAATTTGCTTGGTCTCCCCTATGGTTTTTCGATTTTCGGGGGCCTATATCTCAACTCATGGTTGAGTCCGCTCAGTAATTTTGGTGTCATTCGACTCCTCTCGCCGAGCTCTTTCGAATGACATATAATTTGTCCATATTCATGAGTGGCCCGTATTCTTAAGTTTTACCTCCTGCAGAATCTGGGATCCACTTTTAAAAACTTTAAAAATCAATATTTTTTTCTGAAAATCATTTTGTATATGTAATCGACCATGCTGAGTCCGAATCTGAGCTTAGAATTTGTTTATTTCGAACCCCGGACCTGAATTTGACCAAGTCGAATAGAGGGGTAAAATTTCGAAATTAAAAATTTAGGGCTAATCGGACTCATCTTTTCGAGCTGAGTCGAATGCCACCGAAATCATCGCGATCCGACTCCATAGGGCCGAGTTACAGGCTCCCAAAATAAGAAAATTTTCTGGGTCAAAATATTCGAATATGCAAATAATGGCTCATTCGAAAAAGCTCGACGAGCTGAGCTGAATGACACCAAAATTAGCTTGATTGGGTGATTCTGAACTAAGTTATGGCCAACGGAATCTTCGCTGTAAAAACTGTGACACTAAAGCGACCCAAAATCAAGCTTTTGATAAAAAAATCATAGATTAAATGGTAGTGCGAAACTTGCGGACCGACTTTTGCGGACCAGGGGTTTATGTTTTTGTTTTTCTATCGTAACTTTGTCCAAGCTTGTACAATCACGATGATTTTGATGTCATTCGACTCAGCTCGTCGAGCTCTTTCAAATGAGCTATGTTTCGAGAAATTCGTCGGGTCCGCAAGTTTTTGTCCGCAAAAGTCGGTCCGCAAGTTTCGGCCAGCCGATTAAATGTCTTATTTGCCAAAATCTGATATCAGATTTGGACTCAGCATGGTCGATTACCTATATAAAATGATTTTCAGAAAAAAATAATGATTTTTAAAGTCTTTAAAAGTGGATCCCAGATTCTGCAGGATTACCCAAGAATCAGGGCTTCTTAAAAGCTCCAATCTACAGCAAAAACAGCTCCCTCTGTCCCTTTGGAAGCGTCCTAAACACAACCCTAACCCATTAAAAACCCCCAAAACAAACCAGCAGTGTCCCATATTTGCAGCTTAATTTGTTTTCCATCAATAGTAATCATTCTAGCTCCAAACTCTACTCCAATAGTCAAATCATGTACAGGTTGAAAACGTTTGTCAGTGAATTGAAGGAGGAGACAGGACTTTCCAACACCTTTAAATTTGTCTAAAAAAAGCTCTTTTCTAAAAGAAACCTGTGTCTCCAATAATTATGTATTTAAATAAGTAGGAATATGACATTTTCTTTTTGACTTTTGATTAATTAGAAAATTGAAGATTTAAAGATTTAATTGAAAAATCTCTAAAAATAAAATTTAAAGTTACAGATAAAATTGAACTTTGTTCCCCTCACACTTTACTGCCTCAAGGTTTAAAAATGGTCAGACTTAAAATGGTTACAAACCACTATGGCTAGAAGTACCGCCGGCTACGGGCCTTGTGATACCCACTTGGCATAGGTTCTAACACGCATAGCCAGATAATTATCGCATAAAAGTATCGAGTGAAATTTCATGTTTTTTGACTTGCGAATTTCGGCTGCGGAAATTTTTTTGATTTGCGTCCATCCTTATTGGCCGGTGACGCACAGAAACCAAGCAGAAATGGTACCTATAGCCATAGAAAAGGCTGTGTGTAACACATTCTAAGTTTGACCATTTTTAGCTTCGAGGAAGTAAAAATGGGGAAAGAAAGTTCAATTTTACCAAGTTACTATATCTACAGTAAAACTTAATTGAGTTGAAATAATGTAATTTTATCTAGGGAACATTTCTCGTGAAACTCATCACAAGAAACAATGAAAAATGCTTGAGGGTAGACAATGAAAAATTTAATCAATCAAAAAATAGAAGGTGCTAGAACAAAATGGAAATATTAAAAATGGTAAAGACAAAAAGGTACACAGCAAAAATTTGACGAAATTGTCACACACATTTAGAGACGCTTTGTCCTATTTTTTGCTGTGTACCATTTTGTGGTGTTCCATTTTGTCGCTTTCTTTTACATATAAAAGAAGTCAAAAGAGATAATATGGAAGAGAGAGAAAACAAAGAAATTTTTAATTGGGAGGTTTTTCATAATCTCAAAAGACATTTTGTCAAGAACATTTAGTCATAACGACAAGATTGTATTTTACAATTGAAAATTGGAAAAAATGTCAGTAGAAATATTAAAATAAAATTTAAAAGCATTAACCAACTAAGCGACAAGTTTAGGCTGTTGTCCCACTACAGAGATTTGCACAAGCATTTATTTTTACAAAATTTTCAGTCAAGAATAAGTCAAAAATTTTGATTTTTTTTTATCTTGTAGTTTATTTAATTCTCTATCCATTGATAACAAGTTCATTAAAAAGTATCCAACCTCTTCTTGAATTATAGGGCCGGGACTTGCTTGAACTGCTTCGATTTTGAAGTGCTTTACAAGCCTCAGCACTACCTATTTCCTTGCAGAAAACTATGCAGGAAATGGTATAGCGTAATCAGTCAGTCCGGTCTACTGAAGAGCCGCCGAATCTCCCAGCCGTCGAATAACCCTTTTGCATTAGGTAAAGGGGGACACGCCCAAGTAGGCGCGCGGCCAAGTAGGCGCAGAGCCATAACTACCTAGAAAATTTTTGGACCTTAACAATTTTGGTACCAATCTCTTTAGCTCGATGAGAGGAACCATTTAATACTAAATTTTGAAAGATTAGATAATCTTCAAGCAAGTTATGGCTTTGCGCCTACTTGGCCGCGCGCCTACTTGGGCTGTACCCAGGCAAAGGAGAGGAATAGCTATAGTCCAACCCAGCTTTACTGTAACTAGGCGTTCTATGGCTCCAGTTTGACCTTTTTTCAAACCATATCCTTCGACTCTAAAGCTGGAATTTTTCGGAGGTGCTCCATCAAACAACTAATTTTTTAAAACAACTAAATTTCAACTTATATGTAGAGAATAATTTCCAGCCTAATTATTTAATGGTATTTTCAAGTCCATCAAAAAATTTTAATTAAAAATTCAAAAAATTTTTATCAGAAAATTTTTTTAAATTTAATTTGCACTAATTTATTACATATGTAATTCATCTATTTATGTATACACTTTTATTGTTATGTAATCGTCGCGGCGTAGATTTATTTATTTGATCAATGATTAATTTTTTTATTAGCCTGTTCTAGCGTTAAAAAATGCTAATTTTGTGTATTATCCACATAAATTACAAATAAAAAAATTTTTTCTTGAGAAAAAATTTGATCAACAGTCTCTCTTTGATTGACACTGTATTGGGGAGCTTTCTAAGCGAAACCCTCAATTTAAGATACTCCCAATTTAAGCTACTCCCATTATAAGCTACCCTCGATATAAGAGATGATTAAGTCTCTGTTCTTGATTGACACTGAATTGAGAAGCTGTCTAAGGCGAAACCCTCAATTTAAAATACCCCCATTATAAGATACCCCCATTATAAGCTACCCTCGATATAAAAGATTGTTTTCAATCTCAGATGTCAGTCTTATAATGAGGTTTGGTTGTACTTAACAATTTTATTATTAAGGTGGAGTGGGTAAGGTTTATAAAGCGGAAGCGAAAAACGTCAAAGCGAAACGTCAATCGAAACGCGAAATGCGAATCCGCCAAAGGCGAAACGCGAAACTGCGTTTCGCCAAAGGCGAAACGCGAAACTGGCACACCCCTGGTGCCTCCTCGGACCCCTAGTCTCTCCTTTATTTAAGATAAACCTTACTATAAGAGATCCTCCTATTTAAGGGGTACTTCTTATAATACCTTCTATTTAAGACACTTCAGTATAACCTCAATTCAATATAACCTCAATTTGAGGTGTTTTTTACTCTCAAGGTATTTTTAGCCCACAGAGTTTGGCCCCTAAGAGTTAGCCCCTAAGAGTTTTCTCCTTAACAATCATCCAAAAAATCTTTTTTAATGGCCATAAACAGGCTATTGTTTTAACAACATTTTTTCCCTTATTTTTTCTCCCCTCGTCCATCTCTTATCAAAACAATTATTCATTCCCTTCCCTCCATTTTTACCTTTTTCCTAAAAAATTTTTCCTAAAAAACTTGTCAGGAAGCCCGTTAAAGGTGTAAATTTATGGCTATATTTAAAATAAACGAGAGAAAAAATAATGGGATTAAGCCCCGTGGGTGTGGCAACTGGTTTGTTGTTGGGGATTCTTTTGTTTATTTTTGCTTTGTTATTGTTTTTCTTTGTTTTTCTTTTTTGTATGGATGAGTAAATAATAAAAATTTTAATAAAAAAATTTTTTTGGAAATCTATAATTATCAGTAGGGCTGGGAAAATATGAACCGATATGGCCGAAATATGCACGAGGGCCGAAATATGCACGAGGGTCGAATTATGCAAAAATATGCATTAAGAAACGAGTCCTAAAATGCTCTGTCAACTGTAGAAACATGATTTTTGGGCTTCTTACTTCAAGGCATATCCACCCAGCCCTGATCTGCCCAGCCCTGATCTGCCCAGTTCTAGATTTGTCTGGCCTTCTTATCAGTATAGTTTAGTAGAGTGCTTGGACATTTCAATTTTTGCTCGTATCTTCGTTCTTCCTACTACCCCTAGTTTTGGCCTCTTTCTCGTATTCGTACATTTCTATTTTCGATCGTGCTCGTGCTCTTATAAATTTCCTACGACCATTGTCTGACAAAAACCTCTCTATAAAATACCATCTTTATTAGATACTAAAGTTTTTTCAAGTCGTCTGGCTACTAACTTAAGTAGGCTACTAACTACTAACTTGTTCTCCAAAGGGGGTTGGAGGCCAGGGGGAAATTTTCAGGAGAGGGGGGGGGGAGAATTAAATCTTCTTTCGCCACGAGGGAGGGGGGACGGGGACCTACTACTAACCCTACTAGTAAGATAATCTCTATTCCAATAGCTAACCCTCTATTTACGATATCCCTCATTATAAGCCTCATTATCAGATCCTTCAAGGGGTATCTTACAGTGAGGGGAAAATATTAAAAAAATATTTTTTTCTTAAAAAATAGTAAAAAGCCTTCAATTTTATTGTTGTTTTTTTTCATTTGCTATTAAAATTTATGACCTCGACATTTTTACAGAAACAGTCTCAGACAGTAATTAATCATTTTTAATTAAATTAATAAATTGTGAAGTGCGCAAAATTGAAAGTAAAATTGAAAAAAATTTTTTGAAAAAAATAAATAAACAAAAATAGTAAATATTCAACAAAAACAGTACAACATTCGCCGATATTGGTACTTTATGGATATGTCACCCCCCCTCCCATTTTGAGTCTCAGAGTTTTCCTTAAACGTAGAAAATGGTCAGAGATTATTTTCTTCTGCATGTCAATCATTTTTCTTTTTTAAGCAAAACAAGTGAAATGTGGTAAATGTAGAAACGAAATGAGTGAAATGTAAGTACAAAATACCGTATTTCCTAAAATAAAGCCCCATGCTAAATTAGTGCCCCACCCTAAAATAGAGCCCCACTTTGGAGGATAGTTGAAATTTAGAGCCCCATGCTAAATTAGAGCCCCACTCTAAAATAGAGCCCCACCTCATTTTTTTTAAATTTACTTTTATTCCAAATTGGTAAACAAAATTGTTAAGAAGTGAGTAAAAGGGGAGACGGGTTGGAAAGTGAATGGATGTTAGTGAATTTGGGGATTAAACGGGATATCGAGAGATTAAAATTAAGAAGGGTGGGGAGCTATTTTGGATTAAGGGAACTTCCTTAATATTGTAAGGCCGAGACCACCTGAAATCACTTGAGGAATAGTTGCGCTCTAAACTTTGCGCTAAGTAACGGAAGTTCCCAGAACAACCCAAAGTTTAGCATAAACTGACAGTCTGCGAAAAGCCGGTGAAGGAATTTAAGTGTCCATTCGGGGGATATTGAATGAGAAAAATTTAAATCAATTAAAAGTGATATTGTAATATTTGGGTGAGTAAGCAGTCCGAAAAAGGATGTCAGTCAATCGAGTGTCTGGTTCGGAGGGAAGACGTCTCCCGATCCGAAACTCCCCTATGTCCAGCGCTTGCCTATTTCCTATAATTTGCGGGTTTCACACAAGTAAGCTTGCGAAACTCCAATCCAGCAACCCCATTTAGAAGGCATTGGGAAACGGGACCAACCGCTTTACTATTATTATTTGAGAACCTTGGAAGGCCAAGGAGTCAAATTTCTTTATTTTCAACGCCGCGGAGGAAACTTTTGGAAGATAGACAAAATTTTAAGTCTGCAAAAACTATTGAAGATCGCAAATTTTT